GGTTACCCATGAGGCCCTCAACAGCCCGCCAAAACTGGGTAGAGCAGCCCTCTGCCCAAAATAATTGCTTGTCCCTGGCCTAGGGACATAGACAGACAAGGAACCTTGTCTAGCTGGATACAGACATTCAAAAAGACTAAGGCAGAATCGATCCAAGTTATATGGTTTTCAGTAAGTGATGGAGTTTAGATCAATAGTGAGCAAAACACATTTGACCCTTTGGCGGGGGAGAAGGTAGAGAACAAATCATAGACTGGGTTCCACCATTTTTAAACCACTGTGTGCGGACCAAACTTCTGTTATGGGTATAGACCAGTTGTGTGTGCTGAACTTCTGTTTTGATATAGGTAAAGACCGGTTTCCTATCACTTATACTGGTAAGAGTGAAATGTCTGTTCCTGGCCATAGAAGGCCAAGTGGGTTATGCCTCCCCTTCTTTTCTCATATAGAAGGAACTGTAGGAAGTGAGGTTTTAAAGTTCTGCTTGGATTTGCAGGCTTCTGCAAAGAAGCATGCTGGGAAGTGGGCAGATTATAAGCGGCTTCTTAACATAGAGACAGTAGAAAAAGTCTGAGTCTATCCCAGAGACAAGTACAGTCTGCATGGGTAGTGTGGACTGTGACAGCTGCATTACTGGGAGGAGTCTGGATTCTCAGCTGAAATACACAGGAGGAAACCCTGGGAAGGGTTCATGTTCAGTGTATTTGAAGTTCAATTCAGGCTTTTTTCATTTGGTTGCTTTTTGGCAACTTGACTTCTCTTGCTTCTCCAGGGAACTGAATGATGGGAGATGGGCTTGGATTACTTGAGGGGATAATAGATCCTAGCCCGCACATCACCCCCCACGCCCACGAGTAAACCCTCTTGCCAGGGGTAGATAGGCAGCAACCTGGGGAATAAAAATCTTGCTGGGTTTTTGACAGCAGCATTAAACTAAGCAGGGCAAGCCCTCAGCCCACATGGAGGGGAAATTCCTATGGAAAAAAGTTACACATTCCTCAACAGGAAAAAAAAAAAAAAAA